AGGGGCGGAATTCCTAGCCGACGAGGTTCAGAGCGTGTTTAGGAGAGCCGGTGCGAGAGTTTCGATAGCCACCGCCTATCACCCACAGTAAAACTCCCCAGTAGAGAGGGGACACCAGACTCTGATAGCGTCACTGTCCAAGTGGTGCAAGGGTAAGGACAGTGATTGGCCACGATATTTTCAATACGCAATATGGGCGGACAACGTCACGGTCCGGGCTAGTACCGGATACCCACCGTACACCTTGTGGTTTGGGCAACATTGTCCGTTTCCCATAGAGTTTCACATCGACAGCTGGACAACCGTCGACTGGGCGGAGGAGATGTCCAGAGAGGAACTCTTCGCTGCCTGAACGAGACAAATAGCCTACGGTTTGGAAGATGACCTCATGACAGCGACAGATCGTCTGGTAGTCGAAAGGGACAAGGGTAAAGAGAGATGGGATAAAAACGTGCGAATCAGGAAAGAGAGGGTGAGCGTAGGAGATATGGTCCTTCTCTACGATGCAGCACTGGAAAGAACCTGGACCGGAAAACTCGCCAACAGATGGATGGGACGTTACAGAGTGGTTGAGGCACTCGACTGGGGTGCATATATGATAGCAGAATTGGATGGATCTGAGTAGAAGGACCCAGTGGCGGGCGCTAGGTTAAAGCTGTTTAGGCCCAGGCCCGCGCCCGCTTTATCGCTAACCAGCCCGAAAGAGAAAGGGAAAGCCATGATGGAGGATGGAGCCCCCTTGAGGCAATTCGAGGCAGGGGAGAGTTCCAAGAAAAGAAAAAGAATAGAGAAGAGAAAGGTCAAAGGGTTAGCTTTAGGAAGAGAGAAGAGATGGTTATTCGTTTGCAAGCGAGCTAGACGGAGAGTTCGCGTTAGACGTACAGGCGGGACGACACCCTTCTCGGGGCAAAGACAGAAGAAAAAGAGGATCGTGTCGGGGCCAAAAACGAGAAGAAGCAGGAGAGTCAAGGAGCATCTTCTTAGCCCCAGGACTCATAACAAACTGAAATATAAGACAATTGAACGCCGACGTGAACGTCCTTTACGGGCCATCACCCTGAAGCTCATTCGCTTCGTTTGACGTAAGTTGCTAGGGCTCGACGGGGGCGTCGAGAAGTGGTCCGGGCTAACTGTCAGACGGCCACAAGCAGTGCGCCGCCTGAAATCTACGGTTTTGGGACTTAGGCGCAAAGACGAGTCTGAGTTTTGACGGTACTCTGGTTAGACCAGGCAGCGKRAATTAGGGGAGCTCAGGGCGCCCTTGATTTTGGGCGCGCTGAACCTTACGGGTAACCCTCAAAGATGGCGGGATGGGTGGTCGCACTCGGCACATCAACRGACCGTCATTTCCGRCCGTCCAGAGGGTWAGACCCGGATTGGCCTGCCGCGGAGAGGCATCGCGGGAACTGACCTCGCARCCACATTTTTTTGCGGCATACGACCGGGGCCGAAGTRAGGYCTCAAATTTTTRTCTATTTTAGTACCATAATTAARGATGGGGAAAAGGGATTACGACCAGTAGGGGAGAAGGGAAAAACATAATATCCCTTAATTTYTTTATTTTTTAYGGCATTTAATTCAAGGGGRAATACCCTTGTTATTTTGTGTTCCCGRCAATGAAATTAAAAACATAGAAAAAGATTAAAAATGGTAAGAGAGAAAAGAAACAAAAAGAATTCGGCCATTTATTTAAATTTTCTYGGAATTTAATTTTGGGGAAYTTAYAGTTAATTTATTATTTCCAACA